GCTATAAGGTTATGGTGTAAGGAGGTCCCTGTCTCCTCGCACACAGTGTATTATAACTGCAGCTATAAGGTGATGGTGTAAGGAGGTCCCCTGTCTCCCCGCTCACAGTGTGTTATAACTGCAGCTATAAGGTTATGGTGTAAGGAGGTCCCCTGTCTCCCCGCACACAGTGTATTATAACTGCAGCTATAAGCTTATGGTGTAAGGAGGTCCCCTGTCTCCCCGCACACAGTGTATTATAACTGCAGCTATAAGGTTATTGTGTAAGGAGGTCCCCTGTCTCCCCGCACACAGTGTATTATAACTGCAGCTATAAGGTTATGGTGTAAGGAGGTCCCCTGTCTCCCCGCACACAGTGTATTATAACTGCAGCTATAAGGTTATGGTGTAAGGAGGTCCTCTGTCTCCCCGTACACAGTGTATTATAACTGCAGCTATAAGGTTATGGTGTAAGGAGGCCCCCTGTCTCTCCACACACAGTGTATTATAACTGCAGCTATAAGGTTATGGTGTAAGGAGGTCCCCCTGTCTCTCCACACACAGTGTATTATAACTGTAGCTATAAGGTTATGGTGTAAGGAGGTCCCCTGTCTCCCAGCACACAGTGTATTATAACTGCAGCTATAAGGTTATGGTGTAAGGAGGTCCCCTGTCTCCCCGCACACAGTGTATTATAACTGCAGCTATAAGGTTATGGTGTAAGGAGGTCCCCTGTCTCTTTGCACACAATGTATTATAACTGCAGCTATAAGGTTATGGTGTAAGCAGGCCCCTGTCTCCCCGCACACAGTGTATTATAACTGCAGCTATAAGGTTATGGTGTAAGGAGGTCCCCTGTCTCCCCGCACACAGTGTATTATAACTGCAGCTATAAGGTTATGGTGTAAGGAGGTCCCCTGTCTCCCCGCACAGTGTATTATAACTGCAGCTATAAGGTTATGGTGTAAGGAGGTCCCCCTGTCTCCCCGCACACAGTGTATTATAACTGCAGCTATAAGGTTATGGTGTAAGGAGGTCCCCTGTCTCCCAGCACACAGTGTATTATAACTGCAGCTATAAGGTTATGGTGTAAGGAGGTCCCCTGTCTCTTTGCACACAATGTATTATAACTGCAGCTATAAGGTTATGGTGTAAGCAGGCCCCTGTCTCCCCGCACACAGTGTATTATAACTGCAATATAAGGTTATGGTGTAAGAAGGAGGTCCCTGTCTCCCACTTTTGGTGTATTATAACTGCAGCTATAAGGTTATGGTGTAAGGAGGTCCCCTGTCTCCGCGCACAGTGTATTATAACTGCAGCTATAAGGTTATGGTGTGGGAGGTCCCCCTGTCTCCCAGCACACAATTATTATTATAACTGCAGCTATAAGGTTAAGTGTAAGGAGGTCCTCCTGTCCCATTTTTACAGTGTATTATAACTGCAGCTATAAGGTTATGGTGTAGGGGAGGCCCCTGTCTCCAGCACAGTGTATTATAACTGCAGCTATAAAGATTTATGGTGTGGGAGGTCCCCTGTCTCCCCTTTTACACAGTGTATTATAACTGCAGATATAAGGTTATGGTGTAAGGAGGTCCCATGTCTCCCTGCACACAGTGTATTATAACTGCAGCTATAAGGTTATGGTGTAAGGAGGTCCGATGTCTCCCCGCACACAGTGTATTATAACTGCAGCTATAAGGTTATGGTGTAAGGAGGTCCCCTGTCTCCCCGCACACAGTGTATTATAACTGCAGCTATAAGGTTATGGTGTAAGGAGGTCCCCTGTCTCCCCGCACACGGTGTATTATAACTGCAGCTATAAGGTTATGGTGTAAGGAGGTCCCCTGTCTCCCCGCACACAGTGTATTATAACTGCAGCTATAAGGTTATGGTGTAAGGGAGGTCCCCTGTCTCCCCGCACACAGTGTATTATAACTGCAGCTATAAGGTTATGGTGTAAGGAGGTCCCCTGTCTCCTCGCACACAGTGTATTATAACTGCAGCTATAAGATTATGGTGTAAGGAGGTCCCCTGTCTCCCAGCACACAGTGTATTATAACTGCAGCTATAAGGTTATGGTGTAAGGAGGTCCCCTGTCTCCCGCACACAGTGTATTATAACTGCAGCTATAAGGTTATGGTGTAAGGAGGTCCCTGTCTCCCTGCACACAGTGTATTATAACTGCAGCTATAAGGTTATGGTGTAAGGAGGTCCCCTGTCTCCCGCACACAGTGTATTATAACTGCAGCTATAAGGTTATGGTGTAAGGAGGTCCCCTGTCTCCCCGCACACAGTGTATTATAACTGCAGCTATAAGGTTATGGTGTAAGGAGGTCCCATCCCGCACACAGTGTATTATAACTGCAGCTATAGTTATGGTGTAAGGAGGTCCCCTGTCTCCCGCACACAGTGTATTATAACTGCAGCTATAAGGTTATGGTGTAAGGAGTCCCCTGTCTCCCACACAGTGTATTATAACTGCAGCTATAAGGTTATGGTGTAAGGAGGTCCCCTGTCTCCCCGCACACAGTGTATTATAACTGCAGCTATAAGGTTATGGTGTAAGGAGGTCCCCTGTCTCCTCGCACACAGTATATTATAACTACAGCTATAAGGTTATGGTGTAATGAGGTCCCCTGTCTCCCCGCACACAGTGTATTATAACTGCAGCTATAAGGTTATGGTGTAAGGAGGTCCCCTGTCTCCTCGCACACAGTGTATTATAACTGCAGCTATAAGGTTATGGTGTGAGGAGGTCCCCTGTCTCCCCGCACACAGTGTATTATAACTGCAGCTATAAGGTTATGGTGTAAGGAGGTCCCCTGTCTCCCAGCACACAGTGTATTATAACTGCAGCTATAAGGTTATGGTGTAAGCAGGCCCCTGTCTCACCGTACACAATGTTTTATAACTGTATTATAAAAATAATATGTAGGCCTTGTGAAGACTTGCCAATATCTTAAAAGAGCTGCTAGAAAATAGTTATTTCCCACTAGAGAATATAATGGATTAAATAACTATATGTTTACAAGGATTGCAGGGAAACAATACAGAACAAACATTTTGACAACAAACAAACCAACCCAAAAATGGATGGAACACCCCAGGGCACATAAAGGCCCTGTTAATTTCTGACAAAGTAAAGAAAAGGACCACTATGTAGCTTACCAACGATAGAGAGGACTTTCTTGACTTTCTTTTGAAAATATTGATGGCCTTTGAAAAAACATTTTATGTTGTGTCATCTCGAAGCTGTTCGTGGTTTTGGCGTTGAGGGATGACCCTATGGGTAACGTCTGCTAGGTGTTAAGGCTCGCTGGAGGATGGGAGAGCAGATTCACCCACCTCACATTCTCTCTCTTTCCTCTAGTCAGCAGCAGAATCACCACAGAAGATTGAAAGATCCAACAGGCTCGAACAAAGCTACCAGGATTCTGATTTTACTATTTCTGTAGTCCGTACTTTGTCTTATGTATACTTTTTGATTGTTCTAGAAATTCCAACATATTATGAGGGAATTCTGCCTTTACACTACATCCAGGAGTGGCCGCAATGTTCTATATTGTGATTGCTCTTCATGTTTATTGACAATGATAGGCTCAGCTATGATATCCTTGTTGGTATATCAGATGGTCCAAATCCCATTATTGAATATTTACCTGGAAACGTTTTAAGGTTGTTCTAGGAGATCACTTGTCTTGCTTGGAGGCTTTCACATTGATCTGATTTTGGTTTCTATATTGAAGGATTCCTAATACAATGTACTACCATTATGTCTGCTTTACCAGGGATCTTTTAACATCGATTACAAGTGGATTATGTAACTTCCCATTATTTAATCAACTCCATCATGGTATAATGGCATTAAATCTTCAAGAAGTATTGATACCAAGGTATTCATAAACACATTTAAAGTATTTAATTACCCACTTACGTTCCCCTTTGTACCAGATTCTATACAATGAGCTGTAATAAGTGATGGTCAAACATTTTAATTTAAGGACAAAGAGGAAATTTAGGGCACACCCAAAACATGCATTTTACAGGAATGGTGCTGCCGTAGAGACAAAATGTATACTCAATACAGATTAAGGAACGGAGTACACATAAGAATGCAATTTTAAATCTTATAAGACGACTTAAAATCCCTTATCTCAGCACACAAATATGGGATTCAGTTACATCATATGGCCATAGGAGGATTATGAACAAGGAAGACAGAGGAACTGGAATAAAACGGAAATGTAACCAAACATCCTCACCATATGAATGGAAACCTTTTTTCCCCTATACAGAAGAAGCAACCATATAGGGAAAACATAAGACCAGTAGATAGAAGGTAATATCCAGCGATGGGAAAAAAATAGAAAGCAATACTCTATGGGCCATCATTTAAGAAGAACTATCGTAATCGGTCAGACATACCCCCATGTAATCAACTTAGCCATGTGAGAACAATCAAGACTCCGACACATGGAATATTTCTACCCAAAGATTCTAGGGAGCCCCAACAGAAATCACCAAGAATGAAAAAGTCTAATGAAGTAATAATTGTCCCATGACCACAGGAACCTTTTTATACATTTTTTTTTTTTTTTTAAAGAGAAGAGAGAAAAGAAGATAATTGAGACCAAAAAATTTGCCTCTAATATACAAAGGAAACAATGTTAGCAGAAAAAAGGGTAACCCCTAAATTTAGAGTAAGCCCTAAACTGTGAACAACATGTTTGAAAAAAACAAATAAAACTAATGAAAAATCTACCAACAATGTATTCCTTACTGAGAGAGTATTTAAAACTTAACTTTTAATCAATATCAAGAGTATAATAAAACTTGTATGCAAAAATAACAACGATAAAAAATAAAAACAAAATGGAAGTTACAGTCCTCTCTATTGAGGGCAAATAGACAGCAGGAATATAATTCAAAGATCCTAGAGGTGATCAAAGTGCAATATTTTCCAGGTTATAGCAGCTTTTAGGTTATGGAGAAAAGGGGAATAATGTCCCTAAATTTTATCTCCTTTCAAGATTCTAATGTGCCTTCGAGGGCACCCCTTAAAAAAAATCCTACTCTATTGCACCGCCTCCCGCTGCAGCTCCTGTAGTCAGGGATTCAAACTGTAGCCAAAATGTTACATAGTAATTCAAGGACTGTGCAACCAGTTAAGAACAAGGAGGCTACACTCTTGTATTGACGTCTATCTAAAACTAGAATTGTAGTAAATGTTAAAACCAAGATTGTGTTCTCTGCGATCTGTAGTGAAATTACTAATGGATGTTAACACCGAGAGTTTAATGAGTGAGCCTCCTGAGCCCTGACGCACGCGTTTCCCCGGAGTGGCTCATGATATTAGAATCTTGAAAGGAGATAAACTTTAGGGACATTATTCCCCTTTTCTCTATTAACTACGAGCTGCTATAAACTAAAAAATATTGTACTTTGATCACGTCTAGGATCTTGGTATTATATTCCTGCTTTTTATTTGCCCTCAATAGAGAGGACTGTAACTTTCATTGTGTTTTTATTTTTATCATTGGTTATTTTTGCATATATATTTTATTATACTCTTGGTATTGATTAAGTTTTAAATACTCTCCCAGTAAGGAGTACATTGTTGGTAGAGTGTTCCTTTGTTTTCTTTTGTTTTTTCAAGAACTGCTCTAAAACAAACCTGGAGAGAATGGAGAGTCCTCCGTGGTCCCCGATATCAAGAAAAGATACCAAGAGAACAAGACTGAGACCTAACAAGGAACTGAAAGGATGTGATGAGGAAAATGATAAAATAAGTACATTGACATCGTCTAATCTTATTTTGGACAACCATGAGATGTCACTGCTAAAAAGGGCCTGACATTTTCCCCTACTTCCTGTAACTTCAATTTGTTTATTGATGTACATAAATTCATCAGAAAATTAACAGTCAAATGATTCTTCCTAGAGAATGAATATCTGAAACAAAAAAAACAGAAGAAAACTATACACATACAAATGAGAAAATGGTGGCTATGGAGTTGAGATCTCTGAAAACACAAACAAAGTTAAAGACAATTTGACGAAAAAGGAATGTGGAGCTCTGTAGCCGAGCACTAGTCCTGACCAGGACTCTCCTCCACTGGATCCGTAGTAACTGGAACTCAGGAACAAGGCGCTGATATGTGAATAGCTCTTCTCCTCCGCAGTAACTGGACGACACACAGTTCTGGGAGTACAACTGATTTTATTCATCACAAACTCAGCCTTTTATGCACAGACTCCCAGCATTGGGTCTCCATTCAAAACAATACAAACCCGTCCCAGGTGTCTCTGTGTCTGGGAGATAATTGAGTCAAAATATAGTAACTCAATTATCGCTCAGTTGCAGGAAACCACATGAAAAATATATAAAACAGTCATAATCCACAAGAACCCCACAATTCTTATATCCCTGAATAGCCCGGATCTGAGCACTATTTGGACAACTTGGGCGCTCAGATCCAGGCCGTTCGTGGAACAGAATCGCCATTTGGGTAAAGTTCTGAGCGGCCGGCCATGAGGTGATAGGCCAAAACTGTTCCATTGAAAAGATCCACTTTCGGGAGTTCCTGTGCAAACACGACGAATGCTCCCCCTGGCTTTTAGGGAGTGAATGCTCCCCCAGTCAGTAGTTCCTATCTCCCGAACGTTGTTCACCAAGCTGGTCGGGAAGTGGGACAGGCAGCGGTACAATCTTTGCCTGGATTCACGGGATTGCGTTGCCGAAAAGAGTTCCAGGCATTTAATGACCAGGTATCGCTGCCTGTGTTAAGGAGACAAAATGGCCATTCACCTGAACACGTGCATTCAGTTATACGAATGGCCCTACCCAGATAATGCACTCAAGTTAATTGCTTGTTTGTGGTTAACAGCCAGGGGTGGTCAGTGTTCAGGGAGGTATAAAAAAGCGACCACACATCATCCATTCAGGAATCAAACAATGGGGGGTACGGACAACAGAACAGAAAGGCAATTAATCTACTACAAGCTCTAAAGAATTTGATGGAAGACAAAAATATCATCATAAGAGCAGAAGACAAAGGTGGAGGATTGGTAATCATGAATCTCTTAGACTATGAGGGAGCAAGTGAAAGACTGCTGAGTGATTCAGAAACCAATTGGAATATAACCCCAGTGGTAAATATTTGGAAGAATTTTTAGAACTTCTGAATGAAGGAAAAGAGGGGGGTATTCTCCGCAAGAGAGAATACAACTATATCTGGTGCAAGCATTCAAGGGTACCCATATACTACCACTTGCTCAAAATCCATAATCCGCTTATTAACCCTCCTGGGAGACCCATAATTTCATGCATTGGTTCCCTCACATCTAACTTGTCAGAATATGTAGACCAGATTCTTCAACCGGTGGTTACTAAATTAAGATCCTATCTGAGGGATACAACTCAAATCATCTAAATCCTATCAAATATTGATTGGAACAAGGAATATACCCTTGTCACGGTAGACTTAACATCCCTATACGCGATGATCGAGCATTTACAAGGCTGTGAAGCCATTCAATATACCCTTGCCATCCATTCAGAGTTAAAAAATTACCAAATAAATTATTTGGTAAAATTTATCACTTTACTCTTCAGCCACAATTTCTCTTGGGCCCAGGGCCAGTTTTAGCTCCGAGTTGAGGGAACTGCCATGGGAACCAGGTTTGGGCCAAGCTTTGCCAACCTATTTATGGGTAAATTGGAAGAGGCGTTTATTTGGAGTAACTACCTTTTTGGAGCAAACCTGGTCCTATGGCAAAGATATATTGATGACTGCATTTTTATCTGGGAAGGAGACCTTGCATCCTTGGAAATATTCAAAGAATATTTGAATCCCTACAATTTGAAGTTTACCTTCCATCAGTCAAAGGAGACTGTCAAGATCCTAGAACTTAAAATATATATTAAGGATGGAGAGATAAATATCAAAACGTTTAAAAAAAAAACCAGTAGATTGTAATAGCTTTATTACCTCCGATAGTCATCATAAAAAGACATGGTTAGACAACATTCCATACAGTCAATTCAAAGGATCTGCTAGATGAAGACATGAATCAAGCTTTGGAACTTCATAGGGAGAACACCTTGGAGAACAAACCATCAAGACATCACAATCGACAATAGAAATTTCATCTTTCATCACTCAATTCAGATAAGCAATATCCTAAACAAATATTGGAATATTCTGAAAGGTGACCCAATTTTGGCTCCAATATTGAGGAATAAACATAAGATCATTCTAAAGCACCCAACTTAAAAATTATGCTGGCTTCCACAATAAAGGAACAGATGAAAATAGGCTTCAAATCAGAAGGAATAGGCTTTTACGAGTGTGGCAAATGTGTAGGATGCACGAACAATCCTACTCAAGAACTTCAGATTAAAGAATTCAGTGATATGGAAAAGGAAGAGACTTTCAGAATCAAAACCTGCCTCGTTTGTAATTCAGTAGAGGTTGGTCTCCTTATCTGTAAGTACAACAAATATTATATAGGAAGAACCAAAGACAATTTAAAAAGATATTAGGAGAGCTAGGGCGCCGCCCCATGCTGCAGCCGCCCGAGCGCTCTGTAGAGAGCCTCAAGCGGCTGCAGCTTAGCCCGGGTGGTGCGTCCATGAGGGCGGACCGCACCGCCCGGGCGCAGCCTGAGGAGAGGCTGACAGGAGGGAAGCGCTCAGCGCTCCCTCCTGTCAGCTTCCTTTGCTGTAGCGTGGCCGAGCCCTGCCTCATGATGGTCCGACGGGTACAGGCATCTGTCTCTCCTGT